GCCGCCAGCCGGGCACCGAAAGGCACCGCCGCCTGTCAGCCTCGCCCTCTCGGTCTTCTCTTCCTGCAGCTTGTACCCTCACATGTTCTCGAGAGCCTACATCAACTTTAAAAACCAGGAGGACATCGTCCTCTTCAGGGACCGCTTTGACGGCTATGTTTTCGTCGACCACAAAGGCAAGTGAATGGCCCCCAGCTTGGCGTTGGCATCTTGCCTGGTGCGCGCAGGGTGCTGGCTGAACTTTAGCGGGATGTGTGTGAGCAGCCTGACGTGCCACTTCCGTCTCGTTTGGTTTTAATGCCTTAAATGAATATCACACAGTATTTCAAAGAATGAAGAAAATTACTTCTGCTTTGTGGAAATTAATTTAAGTCGATTTTGTATATTTCTAAACTGCTTTGGTATATTACGTTTAAAACCCAGTTAAGTACTGATATCAATATAAAACCGGTTGCTGCGTCACTGAGGTTAATACTTGCGTTGTCATACCCGAGTATAAAGTCTGAAAAGTGGAAGTGGGTCAGTGGTGTCGCTGTCCAAACTAAATGAAGTTGACGTTAATGCTGCCCCCCTCTGCTGCTGCCCTGGCCTCTTCTGTACACTTCTGACTTTGTGACTTCGTTTTTGATTCAGATTATCACTTTTTCCGATTTACAACTGAGTGAGTCATCTTGGTTCAATAGAAGGAACAACTTGTTCCACACAGTCTAAATTGTGAAAGTGACATCTCTCTGGAGATGTTAATCAGTAGGAAACAAATATTTTGTTTAATTAATTGATCAAACATCAAAGTATTTAGTAGCATCTTATCTTTTTTTTTTTTTCCCTAAAGGTATTAGGTATTTAGGTATTCAAATCCTGTCATGCTTTTAAATCTTGCATTTCAAAACTCCTTATGTTGGGTAGCACTAGAAGTTGTTAGTCTCTTATTGATAGACCTTAAGTTTACATATTTGGCAAAAAGCTTTAACGAGAGTCTCCCTGTTGGCTTCTGTAGTCTTAGGATCTCATTGTGAACTTTGTATCAAGTACACGTGTTTTAATCCAGGCAGATGTTTTATGAGACACAAAGCTCTGTTGACAAGAATTCTCCTTTATTTAGGAGGGCTGCATGGCAAGGTTCTAAAAACACCTTGATCTCTTTAAATAAGCTGGTTTGTGCTGTAACAGCATTCTCTTTGCCATACCCAAGAGCAGTACTGGATTTATGCAGCCATAAATGTCGTCTTGTCAGAAGATAAAACTTTTAAGCCTGCCTGTAGTATGTTGCATTCTATTGTGTTTTGCCAAAAGTTGGGATTTACTTCAGTTGCTTTAATATATTCTCTTCTAGTTGCACAGTGAGTGCGTAGGCTGCAGGATGAAGGTGTTGTGAGATGTGGCTGAACTAACGGTTATGGGCAGTCTTAAATGTCGTATTTCCTTCTTGCTAAGAGTCTGTGAATTTGCTGTTTAGTTAACATAGTGACAATGTTTAGTTCGTGCATTCTGCTATCTCTAAAATGTGGAGGGTTGAGGGTTTTTTGAATGAAATTACTTCAAATACAAGATTATTTTTTTTATGTGAAGTACTCTCTTCTAGTATTGCATTACTTCTTGTCAGGCTTATCTTCCTGCTTTAGACATGGATAATATACTTCATATCTGTTTCATCTCTAGTTTAATTTATTTTTCCCTCTCCTCTTAACAGGTCAGGAGTACGCTGCCATCGTTGAGTTTGCACCTTTCCAAAAAGCTGCAAAAAAGAAGAGTAAGAAGAAGGATGCCAAAAGTGGAACTATCGAAGATGGTATAACAGCTAGCTCGTTTGTTCCGCATGTATAGACTTGAAAGTCCTGAAAGTAATTTGAACATAATATTTTCACTGTGACACTGTAGTTTATCAAGAGAGTATTTGCTTTATTTTATGTGAAGTTTATTACCACTCCTTTCACAGCTGTAAATGTATATAATGTGATTATTCTAGACCTTGTTTGAGAGGTGCCAGCTTATGAAAAAGTGGCATATAAACGATGCAACTTATTCAAATCTAACCCAGTCTTCCAGCAGTATGCAATGCAGATTCTTTCCATACTGTGGTATATCTTCCTTTTTTTTTCCTTTTTTTTTTTTTTCCCCTTTCCCTTGCCCTGTAGATCCAGAGTACAAGAAGTTTTTGGAGAGCTACAGTGCAGATGATGAAAAATTAACCTCCACTCCTGAAACTTTGTTGGAGGAAATAGAGGCAAGAAACAAAGAGCTAATAGGTATGGAAATCTACATACTATTGTTACATTTTCCTAGAGCACAAAGAAATATATGTGGTGTAATTTGAAGCTGTGATTTCTCAACCTTGAGGAGACTGAATTCTTCTGTGTGCTTGCTTGGTATTTGTTCAGCCTTTAGGCTAATATTATGTAGTGTAATTTACTTGTTAGCCAGACCGGGCTGTGGAGTGACTGCATTTCAGTGAGATGCAGTGAAGTTTAATGCAAAATGCTGCGATCAGTGATGTTCCATGCAGGCACAAGCTAAGAGATACTGTGGTTGGGTAAAATGCCAGAAAAATGACCAGAATGCTCTTTTTAAGCATGCTACAGGTATCTCTTTCAAAGCCAGAGAGTCTAGGAAAAGCCTAATGCAGACTGAATATCGCTTTACAGACAGGTGTACTGGATGTTGTGGTAGTGTCCCAAAGAAGTTTATCAAATCCTCATGGTTGCCACTGTTTAGGGCTGGGATTTGAGTACTCGTTTCACTCCTGTATGTGAGAGGAGATGGGCTGGATAATCCATAAAGCTTATTTTGATTCGTATAGGGTTTTGCTGTAGGTATTGCACAAGATAAAATGTTTACATTTGTTTTATCTGTTCTCTAGCTAAAAAGACTACTCCTTTATTGAACTTCTTGAAAAATAAACAGGTAAGGCTGATCTCCAGAATCTTGTTTGCAAGTACAATTTGGTTTTTTAAAGCGTGGGTGTGTATGTTACATTGTGTACATAGATCTGTTTCTGCCCTGCCTTTAGAGGAAGAAACCCAGCTTACTTTTTAACGTCTGGTTCACATATTTTGAACTACTAGAACGCTAGCCTGCTTTGCATGTGATCTGGTCGCAGTGAAATGTCTCTTGTGGCACTGCCTAGCCAGATTCTGTTTTGCTGCTTTCCTTTTTAAGGCAGTTACGGCTGTGATACTTGTAGATAATATTTCTCCTTGTGCATAATCTCATTTTAACTTTTACTGATGGAGAAAATCACAGAAAGGGCAGAATTAATTAACAATGACAAAGGCTGAGACTGGTGTTGTTTGCTTTAAGACAGCACAAAGGAAGGCTTGTGAGCTAGAAAAAAAATTAAATGCTGCTGTGTTCAGTTTCACAACAGAACAACAGAGACAACAGGAGTCTGAGGGTTTTTGATAGGGGTGTTTTTGAGGCATGCTATTTGGTGATGAAATGCTTCATCACTTTGTGGCAAGGTATCTTGTTTGGCTTGAAGGGATGTTTTCCGGTGTGGAAATACACTATTTCTCTTTGCTTTTACACACAGAGACTGAGAGAAGAAAAAAGGGAGGAGAGGAGGAGGAGAGAATTGGAAAGGAAAAGACAAAGAGAAGAAGAAAGAAGAAAATGGAAAGAGGAGGAAAGAAGGAAGAGAAAAGAAGCAGAAAAACTGAAGAAAGTAGACAGATGCCCAGAAAAAGAAAGAGACAGATCAAAAGAAGAACCAAAGATTAAGGTCTAGAACAGTTCTTTACTATAAACTGTTGCACTCCCTTTCCCCTATTATTTGTATATCAGTCTCTCAAAATGTGTTTTAAGTATTGTGTGAAGAATCACTTGAGTTCGGTGTTAGTAAATTACCACTTTTTTTGTGATACTCAATATTAGGCATTGTAAAGGTTTACATACTGTAATGCTTCATAGTACGATTTAAAGCTTTTGTCATGTGACTGTTGTACATGCTGTGGTGAACAGAATTGTGAATTCACTATGGAATTGAGACTATTACTAAGCTTTCTAAAATGGCCTGTTTTAGGAGAAAAATTTTAGTCTGCTGTGTGGACTATGCTTACTCATACACTCCAGCTTATAGAAATCCTGCGATTTGCAGTAATAGTTCTTTTAGTGTTTATTTCTTACTGGACTGTGGTTCCTTTGATGCAATTTCGGTGTTGTGCCAGACAATATGTATTAGAGTGAGCTTTTTAGTTGAGACTTCTGTTTTCTTTGTAGCTACTTAAGAAGCCTGAAAAAGATGAAAAAGACTTGGAGAGAAAAGAAAAATCCAAGAAACTGGAAAAAGAGACTCTGAGGGAGGAAAAAAATGCGAGTAGTGCATCTGCCAAACGATCTGATGGGGAGACAAAAGAAGAGAAGGCAAAAAAGTATTCTAGTACTTGCTATAAATATATGTATATATAACTTGTTTCCTGATCGTACTGAGGCTTAGTCTGCTCTGCCATGACCATGTTTTGAAATCCTTTCCAATGATTTTTCTGATGTAAGGCGTGGGATGTGCTCTCTGGGGCAGTGCACATCCCCGTGGTTACAGATATCTGTGTGAATTACCTGACAACGCTTCACTAGCGGACACGTTTTAATATTTTTTGCAACTTGGCAGAAGGAGCCCAGGTGTAGGTGACCTGCAGCAGGCCTAGAGCACTGCCCTGGCAGTGAGAGAATTAGAACCGTGGCATGAAGAGAGGTGTGCTCCAGATACTAATCCCTTTAAGTCTTGACAAAGTGGAAAGTGTAATTCTCAGCTCTGTGATCTGTTCAAGGCTCAGTCCTGCCACGTGAGAAATAAGAGACAGAGAAATTCAGGTGCTTTCCAAAGCCAGAGGAGATTTGGCCAGCTGTGGGAGTAGGCGGCTAGGAAGCGCTAGTCAGTGTCATCTCTGGTTGTCGTGCATGACTCCGGTTATTACAGCTTCCCAAAAGCTCCCTAGAACCTACCAGTGTGTCGTCTTCGTATTGCAAATTTACACCAGTATTACATTGATCTCCCGGCTCTGTTTGATGAATCTTTTGAGCTTAATTTTCAGTTTTGTTTTCATACAGATCAGAAGATGAGTGTGTAAAGGACTACAGGGACCGAGATAGAGATTTTGAAAGAGACAGAGAATATGAGAGAGCACAGAGGGAGAAACTGAGGCGCCAAGAAGAGGAGCGTCGGAGGCAGAAAGAGCGCTTTGAGAAAGAGAAGGTTTTTAGAAGAAAAGAGGAAGAGGTGAAAAAGGAGAGAGACTTGCTCAGAGAAAAGGGAAAGAAAAGTGATCTTACAGACTTTACCAGCAGCATGGACAAATCTGAGAAAGTAACCAAAGACGATAAAAAAGAGGATACAATTAAGAGGGATCGTATCAGAAACAAGGTGCTGGATTTCTTTACGTTCATGTGTTGATGCATAGGGCCCTGTTTGTGAGCACTTCAAGGAAAGAATTGTGTGGTTTCTCTGTTGAAACTTCTCCCTGTTCTGGTGACAAACTCTGCCATTGCTAGAAAGTTTGCCCGTTTGTCCACTAAACCTTGTGATACTTTTTGTCACTGTATAGTAATTAAGCCAAGATACCACGGGCTAACTTGGAGACACTGCTCCCTTTTCCTTTGCTGACTTATGCCATAGGGTGTATCTTTAAGGTATCAGTAGAGCAGCAGTCACCTTCCTGTATCTCTGCTGATGCTATGTGTGCATGAAAATGCATCTCAAAGTGGGAGTGGTCATTGAACAGGTTCCTCCAAAATGGTGACAAGACTGCTACATGCAGAATGTGAGAGATCTGCTGTAGACTCAAGAAATAAGATCCCAAGTTTAGTTCTATACACTCGGGAAATCTGTTTTTAACAGCGTCATTATGTGAGTTTTCCGTGTCACTTAAGGCATTACTGGTTACAAACAAAACTCAGCGTTTTGAAGAAGCTTTGAAGTTGGCCTCTGTTCACCTCGTCTCAAGAGGAAACTATTTACAGATCACTTCAGCTGGGAGCAGTGTTCTTTGTGGCTTGAACAGGGATGTTGCCTTACAACAGAGACAACCTTGGTTTGAGGCAGTGGAAGTTACATTGCCACCACGGTGGAGTAATTTGACTTAGAACACCTTGAAAAGTTTGAATTTGAGCCATTTCTAGTATCACTGATGCCGTAATAACCATGATAGCCCGGGGCTGTGAAAGAGTCTAAATAGTTCTGATTTATTTCAGGATCGTCCAGCAATGCAGCTGTACCAGCCAGGAGCCCGAAGCCGAAGCAGATTGTGTCAATATGAAGACAGTGCTGCAAAGCCCACTGATCAGGGGGTGGATAAGAAACAAGAGAGTGAGACCACTAATACGAAGGAAGAGGAGTGACTAGCATGCAAGCCTTATGTGTTCTGACTGTCCGTGCAGCCAAAGAGCATGTACTACGCAATCCAGAAGTGCCTTCGAAGCGAAGAAGGAACAAAGGAAGAAAAGGGGGCATTGTGCTGTTGGATGTTTCTGGTTAAAGAACCTCAGTTGTAGATTCGGAAATTGAAATGTGTTCTCATTGTATTTTCAGTTATTTGATTTTATTTTCCCAGCATCTAACTACAACCGAGAAGAGAATCTTTGCAAAGTAGAAAGACTTTATGGCCTTAAGTATGATAATAAATGAGTCATGTGGTCAGGAGGAGATGACACCTGGATCTAAAGCCAGAGCCGGTGCTGGATGCGCTTAAGCAGAGCAAGCTGGAGGTTGCCCGGAGTTAACGGAGGTGTTGCCATGTTGCGTGGTGCTTAATTCTGTCAGTCTAGCACCGTGACAGGTCCCCAGGCTGGGGTTGTTGAGTGACAGGAGAGAGAACATCTGGCATTGCTGTAGTGACACGAGGGAGGCAAGGACCTTCCTCTGCAGTGGTTCTCTGGATAAAGTAGCTAAGTTGGAGTGTATGAATAAGCTGGCTTTATATTGGAATAGTTCTTGACAAATTCTCATGTAAAATCTACCTACACAGAATGCTTATTTTTGATCAAATGCAGCTGGTTTTGAGCATGGTTCTTTTCCAGCATTATCCCTTCTTTCCTAGCTCCTGCCCTCTCAGTACTGCTTCATCTTCCCTCATAACCTGAAGTATTGTTTTGCAGCCCAGAAAGAGACTTCACCGGTAGCAGCAGCTCCTCCTAAGCTAGCGAATTTTAGCCATAGCTATTTTGTACTAAACCCAATAAACTCGCAGAAACTCGTGCCGCCGCCCTCCG